CCCCCCCCGCCTAGCTCTTCTTCGTTTCGTCTTCGTCTTTGCTTCGGTTGTGGTGGGCTCAACTCTGCCCACGCCTCGCTCAACACCGGCTTGGTTTTGCACATCTTGCTGTCATTGCGATGGTTGTTTTCGTTTTTTGTTGTGTTTGCCATCGGTTTGCTCCGTCGCTTCTTATATCCAATACTTGATCCACTGGCCTTTGTGCCGAACACCTTTTACACGCATAATCTTTCTAAATATGGCCTTTTCCAAAGCCTTTCTCAACATGGCCTTTTCCAAAACCCTGGTTTACACACATGCTTTGGTTTAAACTTAAACCGTGGTTTGAACAAAACCAATGCTTTTGCGTCCAAACCCTCTTTTACACAAAGGGCAGTTTTACACAAAAACTGTGTTGTCCTCAAACACCATGTTTCACGCAAAAACCATGTTCTTGCTGGGACTGTGCAAGAGCTGTTTGCAGCTTACAGGATAGCTCTTTCCATGGTGGCCGGCGGAGCACGCCGAAGGCGGTTAAATATGATGAAGATGTGGTGAATATCTGGTGAGCAAATGGTAAAGATATGATATGGTGAGAGCATGATAATTATATGATCGAAATTCGGCAGTAAAATGGCGAAGATATGGTGAAGATACGATGAAGATATGATGAACTTCTGGTGAAATATGGTGAAAATCTGGTGAGGAATGATGAAAATATGATGACTTGATGGAGATATGATGAATATACGATGAAGATAACTATGTAATTAGAACTTGGAAAAAACATGGTGAAGATATGGTGATCACCTGGGGAAGACATGATGAATATATGATGAGGAAATAATGACGAGTTGGTGAAGATCTGGTGAATATGGTGTGAAGATACGATGACTATATGGTGGAAGCTTGGTGCAGAGATGGTGAAAAATATGATGAAATTCTGGTGAAAATCTGGTGAGGAGATGGTGAAGATATGGTGACGATATGGTGACAATAAGATGAAGATATGCTAAAGATATATATGATGAAGATATGGTGACTATTTGGTGAAGATGTGATGAATAATTGGTGATATGATGACACCATGAAGATTTGTTGAAAATATGGTGAAAACCTTGCGAAGATATGATGAAGATGGGGGAAGGGTATGGTTAACATCTGGTGAAGATATAGTGATGATATAATGACGTTAAAACAAGGATGATGAAATCCTGTGAAGACTTGGTGAAGATATGGTGAGGACATAGTGAAAATCTGGTGAAGATATGGTAATGATTTTGTCAACATAGGATGGAAATAATGCAAAGATATAATGAAGATATGGTGGCGATATGAAGACAATAGTGTGAAAATAAGGTCAAAATCAGGTGAAGATATGGCGAAGATATTGTGAGGATTGGTTGAAGGTTCGTAAATGCAGATATGTTGAAAATGATGAAGAAATGACAATTTATGACAATGAGGCGAGGATACAGTGCAAGTGCAGATATGGTGAAAGATATGGTGAAAACAAGATGAGGTGAAGATACTGTGAAACTCTGGTGAAGATATGGTGAAAATCTGGCGACGATAAAATGAAGATCTGATGAAGATATGATGAAAAATCTGCGGCATATCTGGTGATTAAACAAATGATGAAGATATGATGAAAATTTGGGGAAGATATGGTGCAAGTATTGTGAGGGTATGGTGCATATGTGGTGAATGTATAAAGACGATATGATGAATAAATGATGAAAATTTGTTATACGATGAAGATATGGTGAAAATTGAGTAAAGGTATGGTAAAGATATGGCGGCCAACATGGTGACAATACAATGGAGATATGTCGGACTCTGGTGAAGATTGGAGAAAACCTGGTGAAAAATCCGGTGAAGATATGATGAAGATATGATGGCGGTATGGTCACGATATGTAAGAACCTGGTGAAGATATGGTAAATATAGAGTGAAGACATGGTGCAGATATGGCGACTGAAAATATGAAGATATAATGACGGCATGAAGATATGTTGAAGATATGGTGAAGATATGGCGAACATCTGGTGAAGATATGATCAAGATATGGTGAAAATAAGATGACGATATGATGAAGAAATGACGAAGACATGATGGATACATGCAGCAGGTAGGATGAGGATATGGTGAGAATATGGTGGAAACATGGTGAACATCTGGTGAAGATATGGTAAAGATATGGTGGAAATAAGATGACGATATGATGAAGAAATGACGAAGACATGATGGATACATGCAGCAGGTAGGATGAGGATATGGTGAGAATATGGTGGAAACATGGTGAACATCTGGTGAAGATATGGTAAAGATATGGTGAAGATATTGTGAAGACATGGTGGAGTGGAAATGTGTCGAAGATATGGCAAAGATATGGTGAGGATATGGCAAAGATTCGGTGAAGATATGATGACGGCATGATGAAGATATGAGGAAGGTATGGTGAAGACCTGATGAAGATATGATGAAGATATGACGAAGATATGAGCGTAGTTATATGATT